TTTCGTTGTGAAAACCTGGCAACCCTGGCACACTACACACAGAAATGTTTGAAAGCGTACGAACGGTCTTCAAAACGGTACATTGAAATTACTCAAGCAGTAACAGTGTTACGGTGCATTTCATTACTGAAGACTTCGACCTTAAGATTATATATATATATATATATATATAATAAGGTAATATATACAGGTGCATCTCAATAAATTAGAATGTCGTGGAAAAGTTAATTTATTTCAGTAAATTATTTTTATTCTCAGTAAACTTAGTTTTATTCTCAAATTGTGAAACTCGTGTATTAAATAAATTCAGTGCACACAGACTGAAGTAGTTTAAGTCTTTGGTTCTTTTAATTGTGATGATTTTGGCTCACATTTCACAAAAACCCACCAATTCACTACATCAACAAATTAGAATACTTCATAAGACCAATAAAAAAAAACATTTTTAGTGAATTGTTGGCCTTCTGGAAAGTATGTTAATTTACTGTACATGTACTCAATACTTGGTAGGGGCTCCTTTTGCATTAATTCAGGAATTTTTAGAGCACTTCATGCTTAATTCATGCATCACCTAATTTCATCGTAACATATAGGCTGGCCTACAGAAAAGAACATTTATGCTGAATCTATCTAATATTGTGTTGGTCATACTATACCATGATTTATAGCTTGTCTTTGTTGAATAATACAGAACATAAAGAGCTTTAAAAAATAATTGCATATTAAATCGCAATCGCAATATTGGTAAAAAAAAATCGCAATTAGATTATTTTCCAAAATCGTTCAGCCCTAGTTGTATTTAACCCAGCATTTTTTAGAGTGAACTGGATGCAACAAATGCCTTGTTTGTAATGGGTTTTATTGGTTTTGTCTCGTCGCGCCGGGAGACGGCATCACAGTATGGTGAGGGGCGTAACATTTCCGTCACACGCTTGAGGTATTCGGGCAATCACAGCGCACCTTGCTTGTCAGACTGATGAGCTTTGTAAAAAAAAGATGAGCGTTTCAGAAAGGCGGGGCATAGAGGAGAAACAATAATGTACAGTATGTGGAAAATAATGTGTTTTTTGAACCTTAAACCACATAAACACATTTCATTACACCAAATAATGTACTTTTTAGCAACATCATATAGACCGATGAGCTTTGTAAAAAAAAAGATGAGCGTTTCAGAAAGGCGGGGCATAGAGGAGAAACAATAATGTACAGTATGTGGAAAATAATGTGTTTTTTGAACCTTAAACCACATAAACACATTTCATTACACCAAATAATGTACTTTTTAGCAACATCATATGACCCCTTTAAGGAATAAATTGAATGGAACACGTCAATAAGATGATCTTTAAATGTAAAAGCATTTTATTTGCAACGCATCAAAGTTTTAAAATACATCTTCCATCAGATCTCCATTTCTTTTTAATTTCATAAAAAAAAAAAAAAGCTTATAACTTTTATTGTACCTTCTGATCACACTGTAAAAAACTGATGTTCGCTTTCCAGTGCAAACGTCCAAAGATTCTTAAATCAAGATACATTTACTTGAGAAGCAAAATGTCATGAAAAGGCTTGTTTTAAGAGAAATTGATCAAAATGAATTAAGTGTATGATTAAAACGAGAACAAATAACAGCTAATAATGGGCTCAGAAAACGCGAATGAGATCTGGGTGTCATCCGAAGCGTGCAAACCTGCGTCTCAGAGAGAATATTGAGTTCTCTTTCAAGTCTTGTGTTACAATGGGCAAATTCACACAGCAATTATGTCAACATGCCCGTCTTGGTGAGTATCCTATGGTTGAACGTACAGTATCAGTGAACTAGATCCGTGCATTGTCTTAAAA